TTTGATTTGAGTTGTATCGACCGTCGAACGGTTATGCCTATAGCTATAGAACGGACCCAATTGGGATAATCTCCAATTTTCTTCCTTAGGGAAGGACGCGTCGCCTGTAAGACCAGGGCAGGGCCCTCGACCGATGATCTGTACCTCGATGTAAGCATAAGGCTGAAACCTTGGCCGTCGATGGATACTCCTACTGTTAGGGCATCGTCATAAGGCCTGAGCGGAGGCATACAATTTGTTACCAGAAGTAGTTTATGCTTAGGTGTGCACATGAAAATGAACTTGGGATAGAAGTTGGGATAAATAATTAATTCTTATACATGTTGCGACCATACCTGTCTTATTATATTTGTTATTTATGTGCATATTGGTGAGCAAGTGGATTTTTTGCTCACCCCCATGTCCCCCCCAGATGTAGGTTAAACAGGTTATGGGCACGGCAAGGCGAGGCGAGTGGTGGTCGGTCTTGATGACTTGACTGTTATTTGTTTACTTCTGCATATTTTGAACTTTGGTAATATTTGCATAATTTTGAAACATTGTTGGGGAGATGCCCCGTTGACATTGCTATGTCTTTTAAACTATGGTTTGATAACCCTGATTATGTGTTCATGACTTGGATAAAACCTTTAATAAGGTGTTGGATTATGATTTTGATGTCATTGCTATGACTACATATTTTGATATATGTGATGATGGCTTTGGAATTTAATGAGTAACGCCACAGATATTTGAAATGAGTTTGAAAAATTAAATTGATTATTCTGAAAAGCCATGGATTTTCGTTAAATCAAAGTGGGCATTACAGTGTGGTATAAGAGCAGGTCTGCGTTTCTGTAGACTACTGTATGCGAATTATATGAACTCTGTGAAATATTTGAATATCATGATATGATGTGATTATGACCACTCGATTTCGTCGTGCCGCGCCAGCTCAGATATGATTACATAAGTGATATGGAATTGCTTACAATGTGAATTGATGTGTTATGATATTTTGGGGCATAGGAAATTACTCTCCATATGTATGGACTTGAACTCTAGTGGTATAGAGTTAAGTTCTGACTTTAGGGGTTCCTTGTTGTGAGTTTTCAGTATGGTATTGTCAAGTTAAGCTCAGGCTTTAGCTGTTCTTTCGCTATAAGTTGTGCTTTGTGTCTTCAAGTGAGGACCATTCCTAAACTATCTCAAAAGAGAAGGGTTTGAACCGAGTAAGTCCCTTGCGTATGGGGTTACTCGGCGAACTAGAACCATTGTCGATAGGACTATCAGATGCGTGTTAGTACCCAGTCAATGAGGACGAGGAGTGGCGTTTAGGTGCCACGCTCATGTTGCTGATCTACCCCATAAATTATAGAGAGTCCTATGCGTTGCACTGTCACGGCTATCGAGAGTGGCTAAGCCTCGAGAGAGACGATAAATGTCACTTCTTTTGCGAAATTCTTGAATGGAGGATTTCGACGTTGTTCTTAGGGCGGATAGGCCGATCAGGCACTGCGTAAATATCCTATGCCATGATTGCGAGGCGTCATCAAAAAGGGAGGAATCTTTTGTTTCTTGAACTTATGCACACCTTTATTTATTTCCTTTCGCTGGGAAGACAAATTTGAATTATGTTTGAGACTCCTTTTTGCTCTTCAATTTCCGTACTTTGGAATTTTTGTTTGTCTTTTTCTTTCCCTGAGTTGAATAAGATTTCGAATAGAGTTAAGCATCTTAATTTTCTATTGATCCTTATCTATTTTCGTGACTTTGGGAATCTTGTTTCGTGATACCTCTATTTCGAAGCGAAAAGTTCAAAGGAGCGAGTAACGTTGCTGTTCTTGAGAATGTTATAGCCTTGAGATAGGCGACAAGTCATAGATACCGGTGTTTTATGTTCGACCTAGTTCTTTCTTTTTTCTCGCTATTTGGGGACAAGCTGTCTTCAAAACCCTACTTTGGTTTAACTGTGTAAGCAATTTTTTAAGATTAAATTTCGTTTCTCTGGAATTTTAGTCGATTCTTATTTATCTTATGTTGGATTTTGACATTGTTTTGAGAGACTTGATTGCAAATAAGATTAAGCACATTTTTCTTCCTGCTTGTCTTTATTCGTTTGCGATGTATATGTGTTTCGTCGGGATGTTATCACTAAGTTATCACGAAAACTCGAGAGCATGATTTACATCGCCACTTCATAGGGTAACTTAACCTTGAGGAGGACAATAAGTACACACTCGCTTGGGATTCAAATGATCGTGCATCGGAAGAACAGGAGCGGAGGCCAACACAAATCGGTTCGATAAGAAAGATTGAAAGATTTTGCGCAACAGATACATCAGACACACAACACCAGGATTATGAAGTGTTACATCACCATGAAGGGAGTCAAGAAGATTCATTTCCTCGAAACGGAGTCGATGGAAGTACCAAGAAGTGTTTTTCCATCTTGAAAGATTTCGAAGGATCTTTTAAGGAGGGTAGTTGAGCCTGGTGCAAGCACATCGTGAAGCATGGAGTCGTCTTGTTCTTGAATTTTGTTCGTCGTAGTCTTTGAAACTCTTGTTTTTGTTTTTGGTTTGTTTGGAGTTTCGAGTTCAAGATTTGGAACCTTATGTATTAATTAAGATGGGTATTTCAGTTTTTTGTTGGTCATATATCCTTCTTTCATTTGTGATTATGCCATTCAGTCTGGGTATTCCATTCATACCCGGATCGGTTTGTCATAGACTTTATCGATGTTTTCCTAATCTATTTTCGAGGCACAGTCGGGGTAATTTAACTGACTAACGATAAAGAGTGATCAACCAGTACTAAGGAGTTAAGACCACTTCGACCAACAGATGATGAAAAGGTGTTTTGATGAGATTCTGAAGCGTGAAATTATTAGCATTATTGGAATTAAGTTCGTTTTTAGGATTGCCGACACAATTAGCTACCTAAGAGCTGATATGACGGTCGACGTTGTAGTCGGAAGAGTCAAGCGAGCTAACCACTCTGTTGTCTGGTAATGACCACTAGTTAGGGTTATTCCTGGTTGGGGAGCCGATGTTCGATCTCTTGGAGAATTTTCACTTATTTCTATCGTTAATATTCATGTGATTATCGTATCGATTAGGGAAAAGGTGGTGAACTTGGAACTCGATTTTATGCCTTACTATGATTTGGAGCCCTTGAACATTCTAGAGTGTACAACATCATGATGCCATGAGATATCCTTTTGGTCAAACCCTGAATTTTTGTTGTTTTGAAAGTTTATGAAAAATCCTTTTACTTCAGAAATTATGAACCTTGAATTTGAAATTTCTGGTCTGTACATCGAACCGAACGCCGATCCTGGCTGGATATAGCCATGCGAGGTGATGGTCGGGCACACACGCCCGTGCTGAGAGACGTGAGGCCAACTGCAGGGCTGACCGTTGACTCGCACGAATGTTGCCGCTGCCATCACCGAACGCATGAACTCCCCAGGCTACTGTGTACGGCCAAACCCCGACCTTGCAGCTGGTCTCCGAGTGGGTATACGCACGCGTTCCAGTGCCCCGCACATACAGTGCCAGCGCGTGTGCCATCTTTCGGGTGACGCTGCATTAAACTCCGGACCAACTATGTTCTTTTGGGTCGTTTAATCAGTATTCTTTGTCAAATTGTATGCTGACCTTTTGGAACCTTTTTTTTTAACCTTGAACCGAGAACTCCAAGTTCCACTGAACCTTTGTATGAATTCCCTAATCAATGATTTTTTTATCAAGGGAGTTTTGTCGATAGTTCCTACGCCATTTGCGAGATTTTCTCGAGTTGGCACGATAGAAGTTTCCGCTTTAATGTTGGGCGGAGTCTTGAGTCTTGATTAGAGACCATGTGTGCTTCGTAGGGATTGAGACTACGAAGAGGGATAGTGATATGGAGTTAGACCGTTAGCATGTAGTACCGTGTCGACTGTTTCTGACGAAGATGCACAGTTTGTGATGAGATAGTGGGAAAGTTTTCAGCGTGACAAGGGCACGATACTGAGGCTTGATTCCACAAATCGATCCCTGATGTAGGATGATTGTAACAGCCGGTCGATACACCGAAAGTCCGATGGAGTCTTCTGTGTTGATAGATGTAATGCGAGTATTGGTATTAAGAGAAGGGAGTCACCGTCGTGCGATGTTAGCCCTTTTGGAGTCTCGACTGAGTCGATGACCTATCCTTACGGTTGGCCTTACTACCGGGGCTTTCAGGACTGCACGACACGTTGTGCACCTCGAATGGAGGAATTGTTTGCATGTTTCCAGGGCACGTAGTAAACTTTGACGGGATGCATTATGGGCAGAACCTAACCTATGATGAGGTACTGGTGGCCGTGGTGGGACGGAGGGCCCATCAGTCGAGGAACCGGTTATGGTACCCATCAAAGTCTAAAAGGAGTCGTTTTGGCGCGGGTCATGTGATTCGGAAGAGCGAGTATGAGTGATTGGAGTAGTATCTGAACCTCGGAGTTTGTAATTTTTCTGGGTATGTGTTTTTCTTGTGATTTTCCTGTGCTAATGGGATTTCCAAGGACGGAAATGTTTTAATAAGGGTACATTGTAGTGCCCCGTTTGATTTATAGAATTTCTAGAATTATTCTATTTATCGAATTTTATTTTATGAGATTATATTTATTGTATTGGTTGTGATGTCTACTTAAATTATATATTTAAGTACTCAATTATTTTATTGTAAAACATTCGTCGTTCGGTGAATTCAGTTTAATCGCGTAAATCGAATTTAACCCGTTTGAATATTAGATTTTTTTGGATAATTACTTTATTAGCATTATTATTTTTAATTGGATTAATTGCCTATGTTTTTTTATTTCTTGGATATTATAAATTATTGTGTGATATGTGGCCGGTTAATTATTTTATTTTTTCGATCGTCGTTCGATTTCTAGAATAAATTGAACCGAGCCTTAAAAACTATATGAACCCTTGAAGTGGCCTTCGGTCCGATCGCGATGAGAACCAGCCTCGGCCAGCGAGCCTTTTAGGCTAGACCCGCATTAGGAAGCCTCGACCCGCGCTCCGCACCGGCAACCCGCGTGCCCGCACCGGCCTTCTCCCGCGCCTAAAAGGAAAGTAGGGATTTGCAAGCTCTATATAACCTCCCTTTGGCTTTCTCTCCAAGTTAATAATCCCTCTCCATCTCCTTTCACTCACCTCAGCCGCCATTCCTTCCCCTCCTTAAAAATCCGAGCGCCATCTCTCCTTGTTACGAGCCGTCCTCGGCGTTCCGTCACCCCGCGCGAGACCACCCCTCACCTCCGGCGTCTACGTCCCACGCACAAAAGGTCACAGCATGGAGCACCAGTGGCAGTCCGTTCACCCTCGATTCACCATCCCAGTAGGCCTTCATCGCCGTCCCTCTGCCAACGCGACCTGAGCACCGTCGAGCCCTCCTCGTCGCCTCCTTGACCCTTTTCACATCTCCCCTTCGGAGTCGGTAATGGGTGGCTTTTCTGAACCTATTTTTAATAAATATGTATGAATATGTTGCTGCCTTGGTGCTTATATATGTTTTGAGTAATATGTGTTTATGAATAAATGTCATTTTGTGTTTGTCTCTTCGGTTTAATGTCGAAATTGAAGGACATGGGTGAAATTCGTGGAAATCCTGGAGTTATAGGTACTTTGGTGTGTCCTTGGTCTGTTAGTGAAGGCCTGGTGTCGTTTTGATGTTTGTGCTTTGAGATATGAATTTTTGAAGTCGAACATGTTGTTGTACCTAGTTAATTTCATGATAGCTCGAGTTATGAAGATATTAATGTGAATATTTGATATGTTGGTCCCCTGATGTTGTTGTTTAAGTGGTAAAAATCTCAGGTCCAAATTCGAGGTTTAACTAGGTCAAATGATGAATTTGAATTCTGACATGTTTCTTGTAAAATTCATAATAAATGGAATCTTTGGTGCTTTGGTTTGGAATTCTGGGAATTGTGTTATTTTCCCTTGTTGTTTGTTGTGTCAAAATTACAAGTTAAAACTCGAAGGGTAGCTATTTTAACTCGTAACTTCAAATTTTATAGCTGATTTTGCAAAAATTGTTTAACTGAGTTCTGGTGAAGTATAAGGGTCTATCTTTCATGAAAATGTGTGTTTTTGTGTCCTTTGTTATGTGTAAAAATTTGAGATAATAACCCTGAACCAAACTCCTAAAACCTCGGTAAGTATTATTGGTAACAGTCTGCCGGCAGCCGCTGCCAGCGCCCAGTGCCAGCAGCGCCCCAACGCCCACCAGTTCCCAGGTCCGTGCCAGCACACCCCGTCAGCGTCCAACCGAGCCCTATTTTGACTTTTCTCGACATGTTTAACTTCCCTTTGACCCGTCACCTTATTTTTCGTGCGTAAAATTGAATCATCAAAAAACTGGAACATGAAGTGCAATTAGACGCATTGTTTGGGGGAATTCCTGTATTCAATTCGGTAGAGTGCATATATGAACGAGTGAGTCTTCAGAAGGAAGGGGGTCAAATCGATACGGGATGATCGGGTTGTACGCCGGCTTCCTCCTCCACCGGATCGAGTTCGAGCCTTGGTGGCATTCTCGCTTCTAATCGCCGCCTGAATATGTTCTAATTGGTTTTTAACTGGTTTATCGAGTCTGGACGGTTAAGCCAAAGTCCCAAACTCCACGAAAATTTCCACGAATCATTTAGTCGATAATGTTCGGCTAAGTGAAATTGTTGTAAATGACTCTAAGTATCGGGATAGTATAATGATATGACTATCTTGATTAATGTAGGTGTTTGACGAGTCGAGCTCTCAACCTGCACGAATTATCCGAGAAATTCTCTGCTTTTGTCCAGATGTTATATGTATGGTATGATCAATGTGTGCATGTGAACCATGTAACCTTTGAGTGAGCTGTATCGACCGTCGAACGGTTATCCCCATAGATATAGAACGGACCCAATTGGGTAATCTACTCTTTTCGTCCTTAGAGAAGGATGCGTCGCCTGTAAGACCAGGGGAGGACCCTCGGCCGGTGATCAGTACCTTGATGTAAGCCCAAGGCTAAAACCTTGGCCGTCGGGGGAGACTCCTACTGTTAGGGCATCATTATAAGGCCTGAGAGAAGGCATACGATTTGTGGACCAGCAGTAATCTATGCTTAGGTGTGCAAATGAGAATGAACGTGGGATAAGAGATGGGATAAATAATTGATTCGTATATATGCTGCGACCATACCTGTCTTATTATATTTGTTATTTATATGCATAGTGGTGAGCAAGTGGATTTTTGTGCTCACCCCCATGTTCCCCCCCCCCAGATGCAGGTTAAACAGGTTACGGGCACGGCGAGGCGAGGCGAGTGGTGGTCAGTCTTGATGACTTGACTGTTATTTGTTTACTTCCGCATATTTTGATCTTTGGTAATATTTGCGTAATTTTGAAACATTGTTGGGGAGATGCCTCGTTGACATTGCTATGTCTTTTAAACTATGGTTTTATAACCTGGATTGGGTGTTCATGACTTGGATGAAACCTTTTGATAAGGTGTTGGATTATGATTTTGATGTCATTGTTATGACTATTTTGATATATGTGATGATGACTTTTGAATTTAATTAGTAACACTACAAATATTTGAAATGAGTTTGAAAAATTAAATTAATTATTCTTAAAGTCCATGGATTTTCGTTAAATCAAAGTGGGGCGTTAACACAAGGTAGTCTCTCTAGAGTCAGCTAGATAGTTGTTTGCCTAATTCTAGTTGTTGTTTGGCTGTATTTATGTGTTTTTCTCTATAAAACCTTATGTTTAAAAAAAAAAGTAAAAATAAAATAAGAATTTGAAAACTAATAAGTAATAATTGATCTCATAAAAGATCTTTTAGTATCACTACTTGAGACAAAAAAAATGAAACAACAAAAGATTATTTTTCCCGCAGTAAAAAATGGAACACCGTTAGTATACTAAGAATTAATTATGATAAAGAGTCTTTTAACTATGTCTATTCATGCATAAATAGACCACATGCACATCACTCAACTGGATACAAGTTAAACCAAAAATGATTGGAACAATTTCTAGTCGAAAATGACAATTTGTAAGGAAAGTCCATACCCAACGTACATAAAATGTGTTGTGTCAGCATTTGAAGTGAGGACATATGGACAAAAAGATGATCAACAACAAACAAAGGACAATGCCAAAGACAATCAGCTTAATCTTCATGTTTTGAATCCACATTTTCCGTTTCATTTTGGTCCCTTGTGTTCGAAAATCCTGTGCCTAAAATTCAATACAAGAACACAAACTTTATCAAACTACGTCTATAATAGCTAGATGATATATGGAGAGATACGATAAATGATAATGTTATTCAACCTTTGCAACCTATAGAATTTATTTAGGTAAAATGCAACTTGATTTTCATATGCATTCATAATTTGTAACTTCTCATACATCTTAACCATACAATCATCCACAATAATGGACTTGTGTATGGTCGAAATGTAGGAGAGAGGAACAGATAAATGTTCATGTCGTTCATATTGCATTTTACTAAGAAAAATATTTTAAGTTACAAAATTTAAAAAACAATTATGATACAAAATTATTTTAACCAAAATAAACTAATTAAAGATTTTAAAACAAAATTTTATGCAGAGATTTCACATGTACCATAGTATGAAAATTAAATGTAAAACATATGTATAGTTCTTGCGATTTGATTTTCTGTTAGGCTGCCTAATGGTCATGCAACCGTTCTTTTACAAATATACATACTTTTACATTCAACTGTCATATTTCAGAATACTACATTTCATATTATAAGTCTGCATTTTTTGTAAAAAAAGTATGACTATCCAATGGTTAGACAACCTAACAACAACATTTGTGATAGTACTAGTTGTCCAACTTATACTCACTCAAAAATAAATATTTAGAAGTAGTCATGGCCACAGGTCGACCTGGAACTGACCCGGTGGATTGACCGAAAACCGGCTTGGCAGGTTGACCCAGAACTGGCCCGTGGGCAATGGGCCTTGAACCAGGCCTGTAGCTTGACTGGGCCAGTTCTGGGCCGCGAATGTGTAATTTTTGAACTGTGGTCAGAACCGGCCGTGCAGTTTAGCCTTTTTTTTTAAATTGTTTTTTAATTGAACCAGGGCAGCCTGGAGCCAGCAGTTCATTGAACCGGCCCGAAACTAGCAGGTCATTGAACCGACCCGGAACTGGCGATTCAGTGAATCGACCCGTTCCTACATCTGGGCAGGTTCTGGTTCCTCCAGACAGCAGCCTAGAACCGGGTTTTGGCAATGACTATTTAGAAGAGGTTGGTCTTGCATTAGGTTGGCCTAACCATTAGGGCGACATACTATTTTACAAATGTGCATACATTAGATAATATCATACTTTACATAATAATATAAAAGCAAAATTGCATCAAAATGCACCACCTTCTAACTTTTTGCAATTTTATCACCACCTTTCAAAGTTTGCAACTAAGTACACCAGCTTTAGACATTTGGCAAATCGAAGCATGTCAAACGGAAACCGGCACCTGCTTTCTTACGTGGTATCGTCGAAAACTCACGTGGAAATCGAAAACACATGTGGAAGTCCAAAAATAAAAAATAAAAAATTAAAATGCCACAAAATCAGTCTACCTGGCATATTTGCTAAAATAAAATCAAAATTAAATAGCTCCTCAGCCCTAAATTCAAAATCAGTCGAACAACTAAGAACCCTAAATTGCAAAATTGTCGAACAATTTGAACCATGGGGGGAGATTTATCAATCTTGATGGTTCTATAGATTATTTTGGAGGTGAGTTATTTTGGCCACAAGAGAACATTTTGAATTGATCGACATTTTTTCAATTTAGAGTTCATAGTTGTTCGACTGATTTTGAATTTAGGGCTGAGGAGCTACTTAATTTTGATTTTATTTTAGCAAGTCTGTCAAGTAGACTGATTTTGTGGCATTTTAATTTTTTGTTTAGTATTTTTGAACTTCTACGTGTGTTTCCAATTTTCACGTGAGTTTCCGACATTGCCACGTAAGAAAGTCGGTGCCGGTTTCTGTTGGCATGCTTCGATTTGTCAAATGTCCAAAACTAGTGTACTTAGTTACAAACTTTGAAAGGTGGTGATTAAATTGCAAAATATTAAAAGATGGTGTATTTTGATGCAATTTTGCCTAATATAAATACGAAAAAATAACGTTTGATTGTCTTAATTATGTATTTTTCTTTAAATAGTGTGACTGATCGACTCGCCAATAAATAAGACACAAGAATTTGTGATTTGCAATATGTACTATATGGATCAGAACTCTAGACAGTCTCAAGTCTTATTATATATTGCCTCATTATTTTATAAAATGTTCTACAAGTAGTAAATATCTCACGCCAATTTCTAAGTTTTGGCAATATAAATATCTCACGCCAAGTAGTAATTGTTCCTTCCAAACTAACCTGTGATCGGAGATTCTCAGTTTTGTCCACAAGAAGCTCAATCTTCTCTCCTCGGTCTAGGACCTGATAAACAGACATCGTGCTCAACACTCAACTATATATAAAGAACAAACATCATATATTTATCTTTGTATGGAGGGTCACAACTTTCTTCGTTTTCCAAAGAACTGAACAAAAGTCTAAATAATAACAACTACACCCCAAAGCTTTCAATTGTAAAAAAATTTTACGTGCCTTCTCAATATTTTCCATCATCACACCCTTGACTTCAGAAACCTGTGCCTTCACTTTCGCAAGTTTGCTAATTTCTTCAGGATGGTTGGCACAATAGTGCATCTGCTCTTTCAGTTTAGGGCTGCAATACGAATTAAAGTTTGTTAGTGCTCATAATTATAGAAAAAATAAATTACAATATTAGTCATGTATGTTTCACTACTTTAAGTTTTTTGTCTTCTTTGAATTGCGTTTTTTATTTTCATCCCGTATGTTAGAAAAAAGGTTACAAAAAGGTCATTTTCGCAATAAAAGGTCCTTTATGTTTTGCAAAAAAAAAATATTTCAATTTCGTCCCTTATGTATGAAAAGGACCTTTGTGTAACATTTTTTCAAACATACGAGACGAAAATAAAAAACGCAATTTGAAGAGGAAGAAAAACTTAAAATAGTGAAACATACATGACTAAAATTATAATTTACTCTAGAAATAATGAAGGAAACATTCAAATTGAATCACTTTATTTACCCAAAATCTTTCTTGAGACTATTTGGTCCTGCAGTTGTAGCATTACCCCCACCATGTCTCTTGTTGAAATCATCCTTGATACGCTCCAGAAAAGCAATCGGAATTTGCCTACCAGCAGATTCAACTGCAACTACACAATAAGCTACATGATGCAACATAAAAAATAAATTAGTAATTAGTGTATGAAGCCTCAAATTAAGGAAGGTAATAAAAATTAAATAATAAAATTAACGTCTAGAACTAATAACGTACAATGCCAAAATAAAATCACGGTTCAGCCTATAATTAGGTGCCAAAGCTTATCAACAAACTTCTAAATAAATTTTTCGCCGCTCATATAAATTATTAATCTACTCATGGTGTCAGCAGAATATACATGACTAATCTTCCATGATAAAACAAGTTTCTATGAAAACATTGTTTTATCAAGAGGAGATAAACTAAGGCGAAATTGCAATTTTTATCTTGTTGGTTTGATTCAGTGGCGTTTTTAGTCCTAAGAATTTAAAATATTTGCTATTTGGTCCTATGAATTTAAAATTCAACGCAATTTCAGTCCTTTGGGACTGAAAATGCAACCAAATTTAAAATTACAAGACTTAAATTGCTAATAAAAAATCTTTTCGATAAATTTTTTATTAGCAATTTAAATCCTATAATTTTAAATTTTGTTGCAATTTCAGTCCTTCAGCAAAATACTAAATTGCAGGATCAAAAAACAAAAAGTTGAAATTTTGGGACTAAAAATGCTACAACGTTAAATCAACAAGACTAAAAATGCAGTTTTGCCCTAATCTAACAAGAATCATAGTTGAACTCAATTTTAATTGTACTCTCTTAATATAAACAATAAAAACATGATTTCCTAACATGTCTACATACTTTCTCATAATATAAAACAACTCATGCACAATAATGCATGCATTACACATGCACTGAAATTGGCCAAACATGAATTGAAATGTTAAAAACACACAAACTGTAACATGAAAGATTAAGTCAATATTAGTGTCCTATAACCAATAAATTACAAATACAACAAAAATATATGAAAAAAGGAAGAAAAATAATGGGAAAAAAGATTTAGATATGGTGGCCATACTAAATCCATTTTCCACAAGGTAATTGAAGGTGTGGCCGTCGCAATTGTAAGTGAATCTGTTGCTGGAAGCAGGCAACTTTTGAAGACATTGAGATGCAATGGAGGTAAAATTCCCTGTGAATTCTGTGTAATCAGCCAAAATCATCGTCCCCCTCGCCACAAAACTGTAGATCAGCGTTTGCTGACCCGTCATCCTAAATTTCTTTTCTACGCTTAAAAAGTTTGTTGTGATTATTGAAGGAAAGTAAAACCCAGAACCCAAATTAAATGAAAGATGGAGGAAAATAATGGAAAAATGACTTAAGGATGAGGGAATGAGAGAAATGTGGATGACAAGGATGAATGGAGTAGAGAAAATTAGGGAAGAGAAGGGAGGTGAAAGGTTTATATTCATCTACCTTAAAATTAAATTAGGATGATACTAGTGTTTGAATTTGCATCCAGAGGGAGGGGGATTTCGCAAAAAATCCACTAATTTGTCTACATACACAAATGGTGTTTTACATTGCCTATCATTAAACTTGGATTCATTATATTGACATTTTAATAAAATAGTAAAATGCATGTGATGGTAAATGTTTTTTGTCAATTAAGTTTAGTAACATACATTAATTATTATATTAAACATCATTAAAGGAACAAAATAAAATGTGAACAAATGACATAGGCATTGTGTGATGAACCTCAGTGATGGACGGTCAATACACGACGATCATGAGAGAGTCCTCAACAACGGCTCGTATTTCGTTGGGCAACGATAGAATTTTTCGGGGCAATACTCATTGTACTTGAAATCAGACGAGAAGTTGTGACGAAATACTTGGAAATTGGTAGAAATGATAAGCGCTCGGTTACGACTCTTGTGCTTGGGACTCGGCTCGATTCTTCCTCTCTTTTCGAACTAATGAACTTAAAAATCATCAGTAGACATGAAAAAAGTAAGCCAAAACACAAAAACACGATATGAAAATAAAAACACATGAAACAAACTAAGAATGGACCGGTTAAATAAGAAAATGAACCCAAAAAACGACTATGCTCATCGCATAGAACACACAAAAATAAACACAAGATACAAAACAACTCCCCGACACTTGGCTTTTTGCATGTCCTCAAGCAAACAAATTGTTTGAAAAGAAAAAAAATAAAAGGTTTATAAATAATGATCATACTTAATGCAACTTCTTGTTCATCAGTGATATGGGATATCCGTACGTAGTCGATTAGACCAGAGAGATGTCAGAACGCAATTGGACTGTCATCAGGTCGATCAGTGAGTGAGGACTCATCAGGTCGAAAGACCATCAGGTCAAATAATACGTTGGGAACACATAAAACACTAGCAGATCAAATAGGGGCTTAGGGTGTTCGGGGAGATGTTCAACTCGAAGGAGCACTTGTTCGAGGGATCGACCAAGCGAGCAGAACAATGGAACTCGATGATTGAAGAGCTTTTTCCTCGAGGCAATAAGGGACGAAGACAGGGGTGGACCGCCTTATGAAGGATCTTAAGAAGATAAAAAGGAATCTTAGGGAAATTAGACCATCCACATGGGTAAAACCACGTGGCATCACCTGAGTGGTCAACACCTCATAACCGTTTTTGACAGCCTGAATAGTTCTGACAGCTCTGACAATCAAGGTAGCTCATGCGCTAGCTATGTGGGGAGTTCATACGCCCGACTTGGTCCCTAAGGTATCATCTCCCTATATAAAGAAATGAGGTGTGCTTTGAATTACATTACATTTTCTATTATACACAATATATTACTAAGAGCTTTTACTATCTACACTTCATCTTCTACACTTACTCATTTAAGCATCGAAGGCTCTTCACCATAGACCCCTCTAGTGTGAGAGTTCTGCAGGTTCAAGGGCGTTCAACTGGCAACCAACTCGAGATGTAGACGTTTCTAGCTTTTTCTAGCCAGTCGGAGCTCTTTTTTGTTTTTTTTTTTTTGTTTTTTTTCAAGAACAATACCACAGAAGGGTGGTGGGTTAAGGAAAGATGCCCAACTTGTATATAAAAAAGGCCCTAAATGGACTGAATAGTCACCAGTCTACAAGTCCAACGTCCAAGGTTCAACAAACCAAGCAAACGAAAACAATCAAGGAAAAAAAAAAGAAAACAACAACAAATAACATAAAAATATCAGAGCCTAGTCCAAGAGGAGTCTAAGTGAAGAGTCAACACCACGAGTGAACAGAAGTACCAAAAAATAGGGACGACTACCCAAATTTGAATGATAGATAGCCCATCTAGTCCATCTATATAAGGGTACGGAGGCGGAGAGGAACATCGTCAAGATGGATATGGCGCCTCTGGGGTTGAAGGTCACGATGCAAGCATAAGAAATTAGCAGGTCGGTTCTTCTCGTGGAAGATGTACGAGATCTGATAGCGAATCGATCGAAGTGTAGCTCTAATATACATGAACGGATGCTGAATCTGCCACGCGCCCCAATGCCCAGAGGTCAAGAGTGTGATGACAACAACAACGTCCAACTCTATCCAAATGTGAGAGGAGATCGAGGCAACAATCTGAAGACCGAGCTGAAGCACCTAAACCTTCACATCATAGCTTGAGGAGGCCAAAAGAGGGGTATGGAAAGCGGTGATAAGAGCAGCGCTATGATCCCTAATCAGGCCCCTACCTCCGACGGCTCTGGTACGCCATTCAAAGGATCTATCAGTATTTAGCTTAACCCAAGGTGGCTCGGGTTTTAGCCAAACAACAGCTTTGGGGCGTGGATGCTGGACAGGCAGCAGTAGAGGTGAAGCAAAGTGGTGAGGACGCATGCAACTTGTCCAGTCTCTAAGGATGAGTCTGCCCAGAGCAGTGAGGAGAGAAAGATGTCGGTCAACCTGCAAAATAATATGAGAGAACATAAAAGTAATATCCCTATGCTTCGCACTATTCCTTTTTATCCAGAGGGACCAAAGGATCAGACAAGGAATAATGAATCCCACATGTTTATCGTGTGTTCTCTGTGCGAAAAAACGTAAGAGCTCACAGAAATTATTTGTGGTTGGTCGGGGTATATGAGTGTAACTTGCATAATGCTTTCACACTCTCCTCATAGTCTCGCTCTCAAGAAAAAATTAGTGAAGGTCTTAGTCTGAAAGTCGTCGTTCTCAGCAAAACAATAGCAACGCGAAGGGAAAGAGAACCACATCACCTGCATTACAGTATCAGTTGATAATCGACACAGAAAAAGGCACCATTAGAAGACATAGATGGTCGGGGTGAACAAATCAGTCCAGATGGCCCCTATTAGAAGGTTAGGTCGGTCACCCAGCCGTACTTCCTCCCAAGCCGAGGTCGTAGAGAATGCACCCAAAAATGTAAGTCTCCACCTCATACCATCCAAACCGTCCTTTGAGATGAGTATCTACTGGATCTGATCAATATCCTGGTCACTGCCCGCTCTAGAACCCAAAATCCTCTCAAACATATCCCTATCCCAACCCCCCTCCGTCTATATGTCCTTCATCTGCAGATAGAAATGTCAAAACGGACTGACGGGGTGGGCCAGCCCGCAGCTCGCCAAAACCCACCGTTTGGCGGAGCGGGGCAGGACGGACCGGCCCGCCATCTTGGCGGGCCTCTAAATGTCCAGCCCGGCCCACCCCCGCCATGAGCCGCAGGCTGGGCGGGCCGGCCCACCCAAAATAGTAAAAAAAAATGTTTAAAGTAAATAATTAATTCTACTTTTTTCTGTTTGCCCTTTTTCATATCTTCTACACAACACACACCTCACGAGACACATAAACACACACCACACCAAAATCAAACCAATTAGGCTTTAAACTTTCTAAATCTGTGAGTGTAAATCGCCCAAAAATTATGTCAAATTCAAGCAACGATATTTCTCAAGTATATGTGTACGCGTGTTTGTCGATCGTCTATGTCGTCTCTCCCCTGCATCGGGTGTTATTGGCGGATCGACGCACCTCATCGCCGAATCTATCTCTATGTGACTATGTCGCCGCCTCGCTGCCAATGAGTCTGTCTTTCGGTTGCCGCCTCACGAGTCTCGCTCCCTCTCAGTTTCTCGTACTGCCCAAAGGAAGCTGCAACAGCTCCTTATCGCCGTCGACGGTCGGGCTTGACCCTTGGGTTGGGAATTAGATTTCAAAGCCTACAATTGTTAGTCGTTAGGGTCTGGGTCTTGGGTGCACAGACGAATCTGGATTTGTGATTTTGGTAAGGACAAGTGCATTTTTTTGTTACAGTATGCAAAAATGAATGATTGGAATTTAGCAATTGAGAAGTTTATTTTTTATTTTTCCGATTTATAAAATCGTAAGATTCTTTTTTTTTATTAAAAGGTGGGCCAGCCCGCGGCCCGCTTGGCCCGCCCCGCCAAAGCCCGCAGCCCGCTCTTTAGCGGGTCTGTAATATCCCAACCTAACCCACTTATTTGGTGGGACGGGGCGGGCTGGCCCGCGGGCCGCAGCCCGTTTTGACAAGCCTACTTGCAGAAAAGGTAGGTGGGTGACCTGTCTAGTGCTCGAGAGAGGACCCTCACCAACCACCACCCATCCCAAAAGTTAATGTTCTCCTCACCCATAGTCCAAAAAATGTGCTTCTAAGCACGTCTACCAACCTTGGTCATCCGCTTCCACTGTTTGCTATCGTGGGTTGTGGCCGTCACCCTACATGGATGAGCATCATCACCAGGGCAGTACTTTCGATAAAGATACTGGGCCCAAATCGACTTACCCTCCATGAAGCGCCACCACATCTTATAAGAAAATACAGTGACAACATTCAAAAAGCGTCGTACCTCGAGGCCCCCCTCAGAGAAGAGGCCGCAAAAGGAGTTCCACTTCACACAGCGAACCCGTCTCCCTCTCCGGGTTCCTTCTCTATGCCCCCAAAAATAGCGAGTCAAGATTTGGTCTAGCTCATGAATAGTAGACTGATGAGGGTCGAGGCTCGTAAGGAGGTGAAACGGAAGGGCGCTGAGGGTGCTCATGATCGGAGCAAGCATATCCCAAAAGAGAGGGGTCTGATCTAGCTCTGAGGTCTTTTTTGTTACCACTCAGGATATGCTTATAATTAAACTAAAACTCGAAAACACATCACAAAATGAATTCGCACAAAAAAAAAAAATAAAATCATCCCATGCCATTCTACACATGGTTTACCCGTTGCAAACTTCTCTTTCACAAATACACGTGCAAGTTGCATTTACTCCCAACCCCATGGAACGTACGAGGCATTACATGGTCTAATTCAACAAAAAGTGATAAGCACACGACCGTCAATGTCAATTCCTTCTTTATTTGTTATTTTATATCTTTTTTTTATATGAGTCACTTTTTCTAAATGAGAGTTGTACGAACGATTATTACCTAGATTTAACCTTTTAGTTTTTCCTTGAGTCTATTAGGCCGTTTTTTCATGCTCATTGTCCATATTCATCTAGATAACTGTCAAGCGCATCCTAAACCTCAAACCATCATGAATTCACTTTTTTTTTATTTGTTCTTGAGAGAATGACTAAACATAGATACGTAATGAAGTACACATTACATGCAATTCAGTATCGCTGACAATGTACCACAAGAACCTAAGCATACATGTTTACTACAGTTCAACACAAGGAAGGAATGATTCAAGACAACCAAACGATAAATAAAAAGGGACTAAACAATTCCATAAATTCAATGTGGGTGCCTATGGCAACAAACCGTCGTTTGATTTAGGAAACATATATCTAAATCATCAAGTAATAGGGCACGATAATTGAAAATTATAAGAAATAGACTAGACTGTCCACCACATAACATGCACAATTATAGAAAATAAACCCCGCACACTTAACACAAACTAGTGTTCTCATAGCTTATGCAAAAAGAGCATTGAAAGATAAATTAATCACACATCATGCGAATGAAACAAACTAAACACAAACCACGAAAGAAATAAATAATAAAAACACAAAGACACAAAAAAAAAATTGAAAAGAAGATAAAGAAAAAAAATGCGTACCCAACATAATGATAAAACATTGTGTATCCATTGGTTCATTGTTCGGTGGGAGAGAAGTCTGTTAGTTTATATACTTAAAGCTTGGCCTTTTGCATTATTTATACTATTGTCAGTTGAATTAGAATCATTTTTAATTAAAAATTTCTACATTTTGATGTTTTACATTTGGATAATTATGGTACATCATGTACGGACAGAAGATTATATTGTTTGTTACTTGTAAAACATATATAAATGGTCGCGACCGAGATGGAATTGAATAAACCATCGTGAACGGTTGTAGTGTAATTTAAATCGGTTGGCCTTAACTGATGAATTAAATTGGTACATCTTAGATGTATTGAATGAATCAAATGAGGATAAGTTTATTTTATACTAACCAAATTAATAAACTATACCTCTTTAGTTACTGCGTACTCTTAACCCGTAAGATAATAAAGAGCACGTGCATTCAGTAGCTGCTACTTTGATTCACTAAAAAGTGAGGTCCATTCTGCTGGATCAACAATTTAGGTGAGTTGGGTAGTGATGCTGAGTGTATTGTGTGTTGTTCGATTATTTATGATCATCTTGTGCCTTAGTTGATGATGTCCAGAAAGTGAACTTAAGAAGGATTATTATGTCAAGTCCTTCAGGCGAATTGAATTCTGACATAATAATAAACAATTTAGTGGCACTAACTATGAATCAAGAAGTCAATTAATTATATTGCCCGTAATTAATTTATTTGACGGACATTATATCTTAAACAAATGGAAGTAAATTGAATAATTATAAGGGAGCCTCAAATGTAGTTTGAGGGTTAAATTGGGAAGTTCAACAATATTTTTTAGTGGACTCTAATTTTATTCAATTATAAGCTGTGTGGGCCAAGCCTACAGTTGGACCCATACTTGGTGAGTCCATGTTTAGCATCTTCTTAGGGTCAATGTTGTAGCTTATAAATACACCACTTCCCTTAATGAATCTCATAAGCCTACATGCACAAACAAATACATACGTGTGAGTTTGACAATCATCAGGATATCCTCGAGCTCGTCGCCCATCAAGTCGTAGGAGGAGGTGTCAGGACACACAACAGAAGGCCCTGAGGTCAACAGAGACCACGCATCACCACACATAGTCCCGCGATCACCGGCGCAACCTCGACGCACAACTGCGATGCACGCAACACGCCGTAGCGAGCTGCGAGCCACAACCGAGAATAGCAGTCCAGCGCATATGATGCACACTGCGACCAAGCGCACGTACGCAACACGACCAGCAACAGGTCCGATGACCATAACACAACAACCCGCAATGACCCCGACGAGCGACGCCAGCGAACCCGACACGCACGAGATCGACGATCCCGACAAGACTCTGAGCGACCGAGGCAAGATGGGTGGACTAGGTGAGACGATCGTATCAGAACTATTCGTTCGGTCCGTAGGTCTTGTAGTCTGTACAAAGTCTGCAAAATTGTTAAACCATAAGTGTTCAAACATTACTTTAGTTCTGATGCATTTATGTTTAGTGGTCATATATTGTATATTTTTTAAGTTGTCATATATTGTATATTTTGTAAGGCATATATATATGTATTTTTTTATGAAGGTCATATCATACGGAATGATGGTAATATGTAATATTATATTATATAACATAAACAAAAAATTGTATTTATCGCATCGCAAACTTCATATAATACATAGTGTTAAATATATACAATTTAAAAAATATCATGCTCAATTATAACTCAAGACTATTATTTAAATACAAATAGTTACGAAGTTTTACAGAACTTTGAAATTTAAATTTACAAATTTCTATATTTATATTATTTAGTGTCGTTACTAAATATTTCTTATGCAGCACAAGTGTAGTACTAGTTAAAAAAAAAATGTGGTAAGTCCACAACAACAAAAATTGAGTTGAGAAATGCTATGGAACCATTAGATGATTTTTATATGGTTCTCTTATGGAGCCATCCATAACTTTATATATTGGCACGTGTCCAATGTGTAATTATTGCAGGACACGTGTCAATACACCATTTGTGAATAATTATGGATAACTCCATAAGAGCATCTTTAGTCACAAAGGTTTATAAACCTTACTTTTTACATTCTCAATACTCCACATCATCTATACCTCATTCTCACTCCCAATATCACAAACTTCCAATAACCATAAACTTCACAAATCTTCTTTTACTGGGCCCCCATGTTTCCTACTTACTTTAATTTATATATCAATTTAATTCATATTTACTATAAACATTAATAATTTTTTTACAATGACATATTTATTATAAATCATAATAAATATATTTTACGTACGATTAAATTAAAAAAAATTATAAATATAGTATTACGCATTTAATACCTCGTTTTTAATAATTTTTTTCGACAGCAACTCGTTCTTATTTTAAATAATCGCTTTCGTTTTTTTTTCGGGGCTGTCAAGTAATTTCTTTTTTAAATCGAACAATCTCGTTTTATCTTTTTATTTAATTTGCAATGTTTGTTGAAGTTCGTTCTTTTTCGAAAATATTTTGTTTTTATATTTTAATTAATATATAAAGCTCCATTCATTACTTTTGATTAACTATTATTATATTTCATAATTTTTTTATTAATTACTTTTTTTAAAATCAACCAAATATGATTTAATATATAATTTAAACTAAAAAATGTAATAGAATAAAAAAAAATATGACCATGATAATTTAAAAGATGTAAAATGATAAAAAAAGAAAAAATTAAAATTGGCCAACAAAAATTACACAAACACACGTCCCACTTGCTATGTAAAAGAATAAAAAAATTAAAATGGCCGACAAAAATTGCACAACGCCAGCGTGCCAATTGCAACACAAGTTTGAAAACTTAAACCTCCCTCTCCCCAAGTTTGAAAACTTAAACCTCCCTCTCCCCTACTTTAGTCATAACGCTGGGAAGATAATGTTTATAAACCTTATCAAAAAGCTCCCGTTAAAGATGCTCTAAGTCGACCTATCCGATTTCTATGGCTATGTTTGGTAAAACTAGCTGATAAGCTAGCTGATAGCTGATAAGCTAGCTTATAGTTTATATGTAATTTTTGAGCTTATAACTTATAGCTTATAACTTATAGCTGAAAAGCTAGCTTATATGATAAAAAGTGTTTTTTAAATTAGCTGATAAGCTAGCTGAAATAAAAAATTCAACTAGCTTATTTGAAAAGCTACCTAAAGTAGCTTATGAAATAAGCTCGAGCTTTTTAAAAAAGCTCGTCCTACCAAACGAGACTTATTTTAAACAGAGAACTTATAAACTAATCAAATAAACTAAAAGCTAATTTATTTGGCTTACCAAACATACTCTATAACAAAACTGAAATTGAACTACCATGAATATCTTTTCTTTCGAAATAAAAAGGCAAAAATTGGTGTCCTAGCATTTTAAATACTTATTCCATTAATTGAGACGAAAAAACAAGAGCCAAGCAACGAAAAGCCCCCACATTAACATCGTGTAGTGCAAAATGATGGACGGCAGCGAGCCCAAATCGCGCCAAGAACAATTTTATTTTTATTTATTTATTTATTTATTTTTTTGCCTGGCTCCATATTCCTCCACGTAACGTCCCATCTACCATCTTAAATCCCGGTCACCTCACTTGTGCTGCCCGTTTAAACTAAAATTGTGAACTGAGTTGATTACAGTGATAAGCAGTTTGATGTCGTTTAAGCAAGGTCTCGAGTTAGAGTCCTTGTGAATGTAAAAAATTTTCGTTGAGAGACTCACCCACCACTTCCAAGTATGCGACCAAATCGAGAAACGGATAGTCGGGGCATAACTCCAAATATAGGGCT